CACACAAAGACAAACATTTCACATTCCTGACCTAGGAGGATGGGCTATTTTCTTGTTAATCTCCCTTAACCTCCTGAAGGGTCTCCTGAAAATGGTGTTTATTGGCTCCAGGTGGGCTTTCCTCACATCCTGAACCTGGACGCTTGGGTTTGTTCGACACAGGCAGAAGGGGCTGAGGAGGTCGGGGCCGAGCCCGCGGGCCTGGAGGAGGGCTGTGTTCAGGCTGTCACCTCACGCGTCTCTCTTCCTTGGGCTTTTGTTGAGGCCGGCGACCAGGGTGGTGCTCTCCGTGGAAAGAGTGGCAACGGAGGCACAGTGGTTGCCCAAAGATTCCCAGCAAGTCAGCAGGTGGGGGAGGCTTGGTGGCCTCCTATAGAAACTAAAACCAGATTCCCTGCCATGGAGTCGATAGCCACACCTAAAGACCCTATGGGACAGGCTAGGGTGGCCCCTGGGTGTTTCGGAGACTGACACAGGTGACCGGTGCATAGAGACAGCAAGTTTCCTGTCAGTGGTGCCTGCACCTCCCTCCCGCGTGTGTCTCCCATGGTCTTTAAAACCCTGTGACCTCTGAACTCCACTCAGTCACCAGCTCTTACTGGCTAAGGGGCTTGTCCTGGGTGGGAAGGGCTGTCCATGGCTCGGAGAGCACAGCACCTCCCATGCACAGTCACCGTCTTAGTCGCTCCTCTGCGCCCAAGTCGACCCCCTACCTTGACATAGTCGTAGAAACAGCCCTCAGAGGGCTCCAGGTCAAACTGCCAGAAGATGAGCTTCACCCTGTATCCTTGGGGAACCGTCACCACAGTGGTGGTCTCAAAGTTGTTGGGGTATGGCTTGGGGTACAGAGGGGAAGTCACCTCCCCGAACAGCTTCTGAGGGATGTGGATGGAGCCTCCCACCCTGCAGAACAGGATTGTCACCAGCAGGTAAGGGAGCCACCTGCCAAAAAAGAAAGAGGGTCTCTGTAGAGCTGTAGGGGGGCAGCACCTCCCCATTTGGAGAGTGGTTTGGCCATGGGAGGGAGGGGCCCTAACCCTAGCAGTGTTCCTCTCTGTCCTTCCAGACCTTAACAGAGATACTCCAGGTGCGTGGGGTGGGGGGAGCGCGGGGGTGGGGTGGGGGTGGGGGTGGCAGCCTCTGGCTTGCAACATCGGCTGCTCCTCCCCGGCAGAGTCCCGTCCAGAGGTCAGCCCCTTCCTTTGGTTTCGTTCCCCAGGCGCCTCCCCGGCCTCATCCCTCTCTTGCCCTGCCAGATGTGGGCCTTTCCCGGAACACCACTGGCTGGGGACCCATTCTTTTGAGGGGGAAGGTTTCGAGTCATGGCTCGTTGAGCGGCTCCCAAAGGCTCAGCCAAGGCCTTGGGGAGAAACCTCTTGGGGAGTATGGGGAACATGCATGGAGGGTCTTCCTGGTGGTCGCAGGGAATGCGGCCATTATCTCCTAGGTCTAAGGTCTCCCTGTGTCCGGAGGACGCGGGAGGTGGGTTTGTGTGCGTGCACCCCGGTGCACATTGGAAGAGATTAGGTGTGTGGAGAGGAGAAGGCTGGTCCTCTCTTCTTCAGTCAAAATTGGGGTGGCCTCCTGCCGCCCAGGACTCTCCCAGCTGGCTTCTCGCCCCCCTCCCCGCTCCTCATCAGCCTTACTCACATTTCTCAAGGCCGGTACTTTGATGCTGGCCTCTGCCGACTGCGTCCTCCTCATGCAGCTCTGGGTCCAGGGAGAGCCTGGTTCATGCAGAGCAGGGAAGGGGGAGGGAATGACTGGAGGTGGGACGGGGTGGGGGTGGGGGTGGGGGAAAACACTATTCCGGGAGGAACGTTGTAGGGAATGAACTATTTGCATAAACAAAAAAAAAAATCTGAGTTTCCACTTTAATTTAGTTTTGGTTTTGAAATCCCTGTTGCTAGTGCCACCTGCTGGCCAATTTAGGAACGTTCGAAGGAGAAGGGTTTGCATTTTTGCAGAGTTGAATTCTCCCTTTCACCAAGGCCTTTTTTTTTTTTTTTTTTCACCAAGGCCTTTTCTAAGGACTGCTGTTGTGTTTGCCGGGGTCTGTTGTAAGACAGTAGGATATCACAGGTTAAGGGGGACGCAGAGTGAATAAATGCCCTTTCTCTTTATCTAGAGCTCTATAAATGCCCTTTGCCTCCCAGCTCTTTCCTCTATTTCC